TTTTTGCTTAGGTCACGTCAGGTTATGTTGATAAATTTAAAGGATTTTTTATCAAAAAGCAAAATATATTTTGCTAAAACGGAGCAAAAAATTGCAAAATTGACTCCAAAATCAGTTTGTTGTAAATTTAGTGGCGTTTTCTTTTACCACCAAAAAACTATAAAATTTGGGAAGTATCGTTAAAACAAGATAAAAATAACAAAATAAAATCTAAAATGTCTTATTTTTGTCTATTTTCTAAATTTCTGAAAAATTTTCCCAAAATAATGGGGCAAGAAATTGTAAAAATAAGTCTGAAATGCGCTTTTTTCATAAAACTCCAAAAATTCGTGAAATTTTATCAAAACTAAGTAGGGAATTCCAAAATTACTTCTGAAATTCACTATTTTTATTATTTTGATGAGTTTAAAGAGTTTTACTTAGAAACTTAATAAATTCTAGATTTTTCTAAAAAAAAGCAGAAGATTGCGAAATTAGGTCTAAAATGCCTAATTTTCCCTTATCTCGATAAGTTTTAAACATTTTTTAATCAAGAAACTAAATATATTAAAAAGGTTTTGCAAAACTAGGCAAAATATTGTAAAATTGACTCTGAATAATTTTTTTATATTAAGAGCATTTTTTACATAGACTTACTAAATTCTTGAAATCATAAAATATGTCAAATTTTTAACAGATACAATTTTTAAATCTTATCTTACTTGAAATGTTTCTCTGGGGCGCGACTTCTGACACATCCTGTATACTTAAAACTTCCTGACTCATCACATTTATCAGTGCTTTCGAATTTATTATTCCAAAAACTTTATTTATAATTTTGCTTTCAATACCACATCCTAAATGTAAATAAATCCCGGCTAAGATTTTCCCGGTTCAAAATTAAAATTCAAATTTGAATGCATTGCTATAATTAGCCGACCTTTATTAATAAACATTGGCCTTAAGGCCATTTCGGACGTGTCCAATTTCCTATTTCATTTTCAGTGACAGCACTTCAAAGAGTCAAGTGCTGAATATTCATTACAAAAGTGATGTCCACACGCACACACCTAATTAACAAATATATGTCACTGATATCGGCTAATCAAGGGCAATGTTAAGTAATTAGAATTAAACTCAGATGTGTGAAAGTTAATTAAAAATTTTATTTAGGTCGTGTTCGGGGAAATAAAATAAATCAACTGCAACAAAATTACCTTATTTTCTATTAATAGCTGGGAAAAATTTATTCAAGCCCATAACGCAACTTTTTATTAAGTTATTAAAGATTTAGTGGTAGATTTGCGACTAAAATACTACAATTTCTGTTTTTTTTTTTCCACACACATTCACCCTCGCTGTCAAGTATGCACGAATGGAATTTTTTATTTGATTAAAGCACTAAATGAGTAAAAATTTGAGAATTGGTGTTGTAGAATGTAATTTACAAAACACAAAAGATTTCGGTGAGTTAATCCATCAAAGTCGAACGATTGTTTGCTATTGTAGATTGAGGAGAACAAGAGTTGATTCGCTTTTATTTGGCGATTAAATCGGAACTGAATTCGATTAAATGTAACACGAAGTGAGTATTTTTCATATAACTGCTTTTTTTTGTTTTTAAGACAATTTAAAAACATACGAAATGCAGTTTGTTATATAAACAAATGATTCACACATTTATCTTGAGTTAAGGAGACCGAAAAAGCGAAACAAATTTTAAAATAATTGAAAAAAATCTAATAACTTGAGACTAAGATTTGAAAAAGAAAAATCCTTGAATAGCAATGTAGTAAACTCATTTTTAAATAAGTTTAATTAAAACTATTTGGAAATTTCAATTAAAATCTTTACAAAACATATTAAAACCTCGAGAAAAATAAACGGATAAGATTAAAAATGTGAATAAGCTCTAAGAATTTGCGGAGCGATTTTGAAAATTTATGTTTGATTTTGAATTTTTATGTTATAACCACATATGGAAATAAACTGAAGATTTCAGTTTAAATTTTAAATTTTTGTTCTGACTGGAAATTTGATGAAAACACTGAAAAAAGAAATATTTGAAAAAATTAAAAAATGTGAGAAATGCTCTGAAAACTTGAGAATCGACAAAAGTAAAAAGATAAGAAGGAATATTTGAAAAGCTCTTTTTTTCTAAATAAGTTTAATTAGAGCTTTCATCTAAAATGTTTCATGAAATTGAAACAAATTAAGGATTTTCAGTTTACTTAAACTTAAAAATCATTATTTGAATTTGAGAAATCACAATTTTGAAAAATTTTATAAAAATCGTAAATCTCCAATTTTGGCTAATTATTTTAAGTGAAATAATTATTTGAAGGAAAAATGAAAAACTTATAGTTCGACTAGAAATTGCAAGAAAATACAAAAATCTTAATAATGTGGGTAAATAGCACAAAAAGAGGAAACAAAAAAAAAACAAAATTTTCAGTGAAAACAACAAACAATATGAGAATTATTTTGGGAAAACTTGAAATTACGAAATTTTTACTTAATTTTTTTATTTGAAAATTTCAGCCTAAATTTTTACAAAAGATATTAAGACCTCCTGAAAAATAAAATGATGAGATTAACAAGTAAGAATCAGCTCTAAGAATTTGAGGAGCAATTTTTTGAGTTTTTTAAGTTTTTCATTTTTTTGTTTTATAATCTATTCGAAATAAACTCAATATTTGTAGTTTAAATTTTAAATTTTTGAACTGACTGGGAATTTGATGAAAACATAAAAAATGTGAGATAAGCTCTGAAAACTTGAGAATCGACAAAAATAAAAAGCTTGAGAAGAAATTTAAATAGCTCTTTTTACATAAGTTAAGTTAAAGCTATTAATCACGAAATTGAAACATATCAAAGATTTTCAGTTAAAATTTTGAATACTTGAACTGAAAAATCATTATTCGAATTTGAAAAATTACGAAAATCTCGAATTTTGATTAATTATTTGATGGAAAAAGAAAAACTTATAATTCGACTAGAAATTGCAAAAAATACATATATAAATAACAGAAAAAAAGGAAACGATAAAAATAAAAATAAAAAAATTGTCCAAATTGGGTTTTTAGGAGACTTGAGGTTTTTATTTTCTCGAAATTAATAGTAATTTTTTAATTTGAAAATTCCAACAAATCTCGACAAAAGCTAAAAGACCAAAAAAATTAAATCAAGGATTTTTCGAAAATAAAAAGCTTGAGATATTATAAGAAAGGTCGATTTTAAGTCGTGAATTTCGACGTTCTAATCACCTATCGCAACATTCAAGATTTCAAAATAAGTTTAAAGAAAATTTACAATGTGATTTTTTTTGTGAAACTAAATAAATGAAACATTTGAAACTTTGACCGCAAAATCTGGAGATTTAAAAATAAAAAAATAGACAATTAGAAGAAAAACTAGAAAAAATCAATAAAAAGAATTTTCATTTTTTTTTTCATTATTTCACAAAATCAAACTTTCAAAAACATAACTGGAAGAAAATTAAATAAAAATGTCTTTGTTCATGGAAAAAAGAGCAATTATTTTTCTTTGAGAAAGTTTAATTATCAACGTGTTTGTGTCGTTTTCTATTCTTCGCCTAAATTAATTAAAAAGTGGTTCTATTCATTACAAAATTTAATTACCCTTCGTTTAATTAAATTTGTTTCGAGCTCTCAATCTAGTAAAAAAATGAAACTTGTATCTGTGAAAATAACTGTAATAAATCCACTTTTCTCGTCGTAGATTTCAGTGACAATCACCTAAAAAGTGCCACCCTTGCATGTGCTTCCAGCAGTCACGAATAAATGACACAATCATTTAAACATAATTGAATTTGAAAAGCTCAGTCTTGAGATGTCATGCAAGTCTGACAACAACAAAATTTTCCGAATCGATTACAAAATTGTGTCGACTTTCAGCTCGTGTTGTGTTAATTTCCACAATATGTAAGTTGGAAAGGAAGTAGCGATTGTTGGCGTGTACCAGGCGCGAGTTACTGCGGTCTAAACTCACTATTTCGTGCTTAACATTGATTGTCTATCTACACCTGAAAATCAGGACTTTTCACGGAGCTTATTTTTCAGTCAGGAGTTCAGCAATCGGTTCGGCCGATTACGCGAAGAGTTGCTGAACTTCCCTCATTGCGCTATGGTGCAATAGGGGCCAAAACTGCAAGCACAGGACCTTTGAGAGTCACAAGACACCATGAAAGTGTCACGAGTAAGAAAAAAGATGCCCGGAATTGCAATGATGGAAAAAGTTGCAGGACGGTAAGTGAGGAAATAGGGTAAAACTGGGAGAATGTATTAACTTTTTGGATTTAAAAAAAGGTGTTTTTTATTTTGTTATTTTTATAAATTGTCATGCTTTTTGGAAAAACACTGTAGTTTGAATTTAAATAATTAAAAAGCTCGATTTCTGAATGAGTTTCTGAATTTTTATGTTATAACCACATATGAAAATAAACTGAAGATTTCAGTTTAAATTTGACTGAAAATTTGATGAAAACACTAAACGAAGAAATGTTTGGAAAAATTAAAAAATGTGAGAAAAGCTCTGAAAACTTGAGAATCAACAAAAGTAAAAAGCTTAAGGAATATTTGAAAAGCTCTTTTTTTCTAAATAAGTTTAATTAGAGCTTTCATCTGAAATGTTTCATGAAATTGAAACAAATTAAGGATTTTCAGTTTACTTAAACTTAAAAATCATTATTTGAATTTGAAAAATCACAATTTTGACTAATTATTTGATGGAAAAATTGAAAACTAGAATTTCTACTAGAAATTGCAAAAGAATACAAGAATCTTAGAAATAACACAAAAAGAGGAAACGAAAAAAACAAAATTTTCAGTGAAAACAACAAACAATGAGAATTATTTTGGGGAGACTTGAGATTTTCTAATTTTCTCGAAATTCTTACTTAATTTTTTTATTTGAAAGTTTCAGCTACAAAAGATATTAAAACCTCATGAAAAATAAAATGAAGAGATTAAAAAGATGTGAATCAGCTCTAAGAATTTGAGAAGCAATTTAAAAAAAATGAAAAGCTCATTGTTTAAGTTTCTCAATTTTTTGTTTTATAATCACTTATAGGAAAGAAACTGAAAATTTTTATTGAATTTTTAATTTTTGAACTGACTTGGAATTTGATGAAAACACAAAAAAATGTGAGATAAACTGAGAATCGACAAAAGTAAAAAGTTCTTTTTTTCTAATTAAGTTTAATTAGAGCTTTCAGTCTGAAACGTTTCATGAAACGAATCAAACATTTTCAGCTACAATTTCAAATACTTGACTGAACAATCATTATTTGAATTTGAGAAATCACGAAAATCTCGAATTTTGACTAATTATTTGAAGGAAAAATAAAAACTTATAATTCGACTAGAAAAGTGCAAAAATACATAAATAAATAACAGAAAAACCGGGAGAATGTATTAACTTTTTGGATTTAACAAAATGTGTTTTTTATTTTGTTATTTTTATAAGTTGTTCTAAAATTCAGGCTTTTTGCAAAAACACTGTAGTTTGAATTTAAATAAAGATCTTGATTTTACAGGTTTTTCAAAATGTGGTTTTGATTAAAAAAAAAATTATTAGACAATTAAAAACCTATGCTCTTACAATAGTTAGTTTCAAAAGAGGAATTACGTGTTGTGAACGTTAAAATTTCAAAAGTCTAAATAATAGACAAGTTTTTTGTGCTTCAAAAAACATGTTGAAACCCGAATTTTAACTAAATTCGAACGTATAAAATAGTCGGTATTTTGGAATTATTAAAATCCCAACTTTTGCTTCAAAGCTTTTATTTTAAGATTTTTGAAATTTTAACGCAGAGAAAAACAGACATCCTGAAATTTCTTTATTTTTTTCGTTCTTTACTTTTCTGTTATAAATTTTTAACTTTAGCATCTCGACTTTTTCAATTTTTTTAAATCAACAATTTTTACTTTTTTTAGTTTGTAAATTGCGGCAAAACTGTAGCTCAATGATTTAATATTTTGACGTAGACATATGTAAAATGTTCCGGAGAATCGATTGGCGTCAATTAAACTGCAAAATTCGTAGTAGTTTTGAAGTTATAGTCGGATTTAAATTCTCGATATTTTTGACTTTATCAGAAATTTTCTCGATAACTATTCATCGTAGAGCACTGAAATTTTTAATATATGATAGAAAATTCAATTTTCTATCCAACGGTACCAAATATAAGAGGWTATCTCTAATAAGTCCGGAGTTATGGCCAATAGACCGCTCCGGATGCCAAAAATCGACCAAAATCTCGACAAAAACCAAAAAAAATTTTAACTTTAAAATTGATCTATTCACGTTTTTTACATTTTTAGAGGTCTTAAAAAGTCAAATAAGTGCATAAAACGCCATTGGGTCAAGTTAAAAAAAAAATGAATTTTTTGAGTTTTTGAAGTTAAGCGGTAGTAAAATCGTAATCGTAAAAACACTTAAAATATAATTTTCTAGATGCATAAGCACTATGTAGATAAATGTTCAGAAAAGAGGCTGAAAAATGTTTAGCTTTCTAAGCCTCAAAATTTCAAATTTTTTAAATTTCTACCTTCAAAATTTCAAATTTTTTACCGGTTGTTTTCTCTATCTTTTTCTGTAATTACCAAAACAAAAATTTTAATTTTTAAAAGTTGGAATTTTGCATTTTGGACCAAAATTTGAACGAAAAAATGATGAAAATTTCATATTTCATAGAGTATTAAATAGTTACTACTCTTAATCATAATTAAGGTTTTTCAAAATGTGATCTATCTCTCCCGGACTTACCCTACTCAGCTGTTAAGTTGTAGATCACTAACTTTTCGTGAGTGAGTTAAAGAAAAATAAATCTTGTTACATGCCAAGCCACGTGCTGAAAATAATTACACAAGAACTAATCTTCGAAGCTGACGAGTTGTAGAGATTATGTAAAAGAAAGAGATTTTTCTTGTTCTAGGAGCCAATTTTGTCTCATGATTAGTTTGTTAGGTTGTAATTTATGTGACACGTGGATAAGGGATGAGGAAGAGGAAGGAATTGTTAAAGAAAGAAAAACATAAACAAATATCAATAATATCATGTGATTTGTTTACATATATCACTTGTTTATGTTGTAATAAAATAGTTAAATAGATTAGATGAAAATGTCCTTGCACGAAAATTGGTATTTTGTCAATTAATTAGGGATATTTGTTGTAAATTTTTTATGTCATCGTTCGAATTACCATTCCCACAATCTGGTTTAAACAATCGAATGTTTGTTTGGGATTATAAATTAATTAATTAAAATAAATTGCATTGATGCCACACTTCAGTCGTTGGCATCAGACTGTGTTTACATGATTTAAAATACATAAGTTGTTTACAGAAACATTTTTAATTATATTTACGTGGATTTACAAAAATACAACTCAGGTTTGCTTTCTTGCTCTACGATGAATAGTTTTTTTTGTGATATTGAGTAATAATGTTAAGAATAAGGTTAGAAGCATACCTAATCAATAAAAATCGACCAAAATCTCGACAAAAATCAAAAATTAAAAAAAAATTCAACTTTAAAATTGATCCATTTAATGTTTTTTACATTTCTAGAAGTCTTAAAGACTCAAATAAGTGCAGAAAACGCCTTTGGGTCAAGTTTTTTTGTTCAAAATTTTGAATTTTTGAAGGTGAGCAGTAATAAAATCGTAAAAATAGTCAATTTACTAAAAATCGTAAAAACGGTTGAAATATGGTTTTCTAGACGTAAAATTACTCGGTGAACACGATGCAACAAGTTAAAATACTCTAAGAGGCATAATTCTTAAAATATTGAGCAATAAAGTTAATAATAATAAGGCTAGAAGCATCTGATTTTAACCAAAAAATCAAAAATTTTCGATTCTTATAACAAATTAGTATTAGATGTAAAATTAACCGGACTCATATGTTTTGAGATATAACTGTTTTCTATAAAAAAAAACTAAAAACGATTCTGTTCACGGAACTGAACAAAATTTTCATACAGGCTGAATTATGAAAAACGCCCCAAACCATAACTCCATTATTTTTAAAGTTATGACAATACTTCTTAGAACAAAGTTGAACATTTTTTGTCATCTATTGTTTGGGATAGATGCTAAATTAATGCTGTTTTTTGTTTCACCGGAAATGACATCAACTTTATATTTTTTAATGGAACACCCTGTATATTTTACCACTTTTGGATTCTTTGTTTAATTGTCTTTTAACAAGTTTTAGTACCATGTGTCTAAAACCAACCGTTCGTGAAATATGAGTCAATTAAAAATTGATTAAAGTAGGCAGTGGAAAACAATAATATTAAGTAATGTTGACAAATATTATTACTTTGCATTTTCTCTTATTATTTTTATACTTTTTGGTGTTCTGGTGATAATGTGTTAACAGACATGATTCAAGAGTATTTTGAAAGCAATAAAAATAGTTGGAGAAAATGCAAAGGAATAATATTTGTCAACATTACTTGATATTACTGTTTTCCACTGCCTACTTTAATAAATACATTATTTGGTGAATATCTCACGAACGGTTAGTTTTAGGCATATGGTACTAAAACTTGTTAAAAGACAATTAAACAAAGAATCTAAAAGTGGTAAAATATACAGGGTGTTCCATTAAAAAAAAATAAAGAAAACAGCATTAATTTAGCATCTATCCTAAACGATAGATGACAAAAAATGTTCAACTTTGTTCTAAGAAGTATTGTCATAACTTTTAAAAATAATGGAGTTATAGCTTGGGGCGTTTTTCTTGATACAGCCTGTATATGCACGTATTTTCACAAAAATATGCACAAAATATTAAGAAATATACTCCAATATAAGCCAAATATGCAAAATTTTGAACAATAAAATGCAAACGTATTTATTTTTTGAAAAAACTAATTGATGAATTATAAAGTTCTATAAAAATGTGATGTTTTATCAAAAATAAAATTTTTCGAAATTTTTGTTATTTTGTTTTTGAGTTTTACATACAAAAATATAATTTTTTTAAATGGCAACCCACCAAAAAAAACATTTTTTTCATGAAGGTTATGATCTGAGGGATTACAACTATCTACTTTGAATTAAATTATTTTTTTACATATATCGCAATTTAGACAGTAAAAATCGAATAACTCAAAAACAAAACAAAGTTTTGTTCTTAAAATAAGATCATTTTTTATATTACTATAATTTATATTAATTATTAGTTTTTGGAAACAAAAAAACCGCTTGGTTCAATACAATTTAAAAAGGAAACACTCAGCTGGGTACTAATTTTTTGAGTTTGGCTTACGAATTTCCGGTTTTCTTTTTAAAATATTTTGTAATCGGATCATTTTTCATCAACTGTTCAATTTTTAACTTGAACTGAAATTTTTAATTTGAAGAAAATATGCACAAATATGCAATATTTCTTAAAATATGCACCAAAATATGCGAAATATGCATTTTTTATTTGGCTTATTTTAATAAAAAAACATTAGATATGCATAGAAAACTTACAATTTTGTTGATATACCTATTAATAACAAATAGCTAGAAATAGCTACAAGCATCTGATTTTGAAAAAACTAAAAACGATTCTGTTCACAGAACTGAACAAAATTTTCATATTTTGTAATGTAATTTTCGAAATAAACCGTTTTTTTTTTTTAAATCACTCTGTATTAATAAATCTTATGTGAATTGCTTTACAGGCTCGCCGCGTCCGCTTCGCCCTCCCCCCCACAGATGTCGCCCCCATCACCGGAGGCGTCGCCGTCGCCTCGGTGGCGGGAGACGGCTGGTTACGAACTCGCGCTCCTTTCAGTAAGCGTTCAGATGCACATCGCTCAGAAAGCAGCGTCGGAGTTTATCCCACAGACGCCGTCGTCCCACGTCGCGACGTCCCAGTCACCGCGTCCCCGGGCGTCCGGAACAGAGTTCATCCCACAGGAAGATACGTCCGCGGCACACTGTCTCCCACGGCCAGCGCGTCGCCACACGCGGCCGCCTCTCCAGAAGGTCAGGCCCTTCTGAGGGCGGCCCGCGACGCCGACGACCATCTCCTGAGGGACCTGTTGAGGAGGGCCGCGCTGGTCGGCATCGCCGACTGTGATTTGAATGCGGTCGACAGCAGCGGAAGGGTATGTTAAATCATGAAAAAACTGAAATTTTTTGGGTGTTTTTGAATGTCAAAGGTTGGTGGCTGAAATGCGACTAATTTTTAATCAACGGGTATGGCCACAACGCTAATTACTAATTAGCTCACTTTGTGATTGCATTTTGGTTTAAAACCGGGCAATTTTGATGGAAATTGTGTCAAAAAAAATTTCTAAATTATGAAAAATTTTTGAAAAATTTATTTATAGTACACACTCCATAACCAAAGCTATGAACGAAGGAAAAAAGTTGACGTTGATGAAACAGAGAAATAAAAACAAGTTATCAACAAAAATTATAACGAAGAATTTGATTAAAGTTGACGAAACAGACAAAATAAAAGAAATTAATTACATTTTTCATTGATTTTGTTCAAAAACATTTTTTTTATAA